CTCGGGGTTAACATTGATTGGTGCATAATGCCAGATCATTTTACTTGTTAAGGGGAAACTGTGCTTGCTCTCGATGGGTTAAGTTGGTTAACCAGTCGATCTGCTCATGTGTGTCTAGACAGTCTAGTTAACCAATTTTATAGTTGCAAGGTCCCTTGTCCGGTTGCCCACTGGGTCATTCCCCTTACCTCAGAAAAATTGCAGAGATAAAAAAGGGTGCCAACAGGCTTAACCCCTGAGAAACATCTTTGGGGTCACCCTTCAGAAACATTTGTCCATAGGGCCTGATAGAGGAATGGACCACTGCACCATGCATAAATTTATATACTTCATTATTTTACTAGCTGTCGCCGGCAACACAGGCTACCCATCAAGGGAATATTAGTTGGCAATAGTGGCGTAGCCAGTAGTGGTGTGCATCGGATCGGATTGGACGTTTATAATCCGACAATTGCCCAATGTTTAAAATCTGATCCAATCCGAAATTGTCTAATCCAAATCCGATCCGAGTTTTGATAAAGAATTCCAATCCAATCCGATCCGAAGAATTCTTTAATAAAATAAATTTCTCATTCCAGTTGAAATATTTAACCAAATAAATATACGTCCAATTGAAGTATCAAACGAATAATGCAGTGACAACCGCGATAATGCTTTGATAAATGCATGGATATTTAATTCTTGCTATAATGCGTGGATAATTAATTCATTTTAATTTATTTCGGATATCGAAGTCTGATCCGATCTGACTACGAAACAACTTTATCAATCCGATCCGAAATGAATATTTTGGTTCCGAAATCCGAACAAATCCGGATCAGATTCGGATCGGTTTCAGATTGGATTTGCACACCTCTAGTATAGCTAGACTAAATTGTCAAGTTGCATGGCTATGCTACTGGTTGGCAAAGACAATAGATTTACAAGTTCCTGATAGCTAGGCTGCAGGTTTAATCTGCATTCAGTTCAAGCTTTATCACGTTTAAATAGTTACATGCTTCCAGACAGTTTGTCATCTTGGCTATAAAGCCTTGTATTTGTGATTGAGATGTTGGTGCTTAACTAATGTCAGTGGAGGAGACAAGCAATGGGAATTACTCAAAATAAATCTGGACGTTATACTGGCCATTATGACCAGTGGATCACTAAATTTGCCGGTCACAGCAGAATTTATGCCGGTCAGTCATTGTCACTCCTTAGCTTCTTTTCCCCCCTCATCTTTTGTGTGACTCGTAACTTTAGAAGCAATTGTGTATTTTAATTGTATTTGTACACAAAGTAGAAGTATAGCGTAATTATCAAAGCTGTAGTTAAGTAATCATTACTATAATAACATTAACATTGTTTACTAGCAAATTAATATATTAAGTCGCAAATGACAACTGTAGTTTGAGTGGCGAGCATGCATGCTTTAAGGCTGCATTCGGATTCCATGCAGTTACGCGTTTTTGATACGTAGTACGTACATTCAGTTTTGTGTATGATTTAAATGTGTATTAATTTTGTTAAGGTTATTTGCACTTATATGAAATTTTAAAAGATTTAACTAACTTTTCCGTCGCACGTGTGAAAAACGCGTAACTGGAAAACAGCCCTTAGGCACAATGCTTGCGGTATATCGTATCTGTATGACAAAATGTGTCACTTTGCCGCCCTTATTAGCCTGCACCCAGGCGGACATGCGTGACCTTACCGGTATAAAAAAGTACGTTCAAAAATGGAGCAGATTTTTTATTTCCAATTTTCCAAAGAAGTGTATGTCCGTCTACGCTGCAGGCTAATAAGGGCGGTGAAGTGACACATTTTGTCATACAGATACGATATACCGCAAGCATTGTGCCTAAGGGCTGTTTTCCAGTTACGCGTTTTTCACACGTGCGACGGAAAAGTTTAAATCTTTTAAAATTTCATACAAGTGCAAATAAGTTTAACAAATACATATTAAATCATACACGAAACTGAATGCTGTCCTTTTATAAATTTAGTTATAATTTCAACTTTTACGTGCGTATGAAAAACGCGTAACTGGAATGCAGTTTTAAAGCATGCTCGCAACTCAAACTACAGTTGTCATTTGCGACTTACGGTTAATAACATATTAATTTGCTAGACTAGTAAACAATGTTAATGTTATTAGTAACGATTACTACTACAGCTTTGATAAACGCCATACTTCTACTTTGCATACAAATACAATTAAAATACACAATTGTTTCTAAAGTTACGAGTCACGCGAAAGATGAGGGGAAAAAGAAGCTAAGAAGTGACAATGGCCGGCATAAGTTCCTCTGTGACCGGTAAATTTGGTGATCCACCGGTCATAATGACCGGTATAACGTCCAGATTTATTTCGAGGTCTGTCTGCACCGTAGACGGACATACAGTTTTTTGGAAAATTGGAAATAAAAAATCTGCTCAATTTTTGAACGTAATTTTTCATTAAAAATGTACTGGTCACGCATGTCCGCCAGGCGAGGATATTTGCCGGTCAAACTGTGAAATTTTACTGGTCGGTGACCGCGGCACGTATTTCGAGGCCTTGGACTCCTAGATAGACGGTGTCAGGGATTTTTAATTGACAAATTATTAATTGAGTACCACAGGTTAACCCATTGAGCGTCAGCACTCTCCCCTATATACAAGTAAAATCGTCTGGAGTAAGACGGAGTAAATGAATAAAGTATAGGGTGCATTAATTGGGGCTCAAAGCAACTGAATTGGTTAATAGAGAGGTTAGATACCCCGGTTTCGGTGTACGTGTACGGGTAGCATGATTTTGGTTAGCAATATTTTCGTCGATGTCTGTACCTTTACTCGTAATTAAGGTGCACATTTTGCGCATTATATCATTATCTATTGCAAGAAAACAGAAAAAATATGATCGAATTACAGACATCAGTAAAATAAGATGACACTACCCGTACCCGTACACCGAAACCGGGGTATCTTAACCTCTCTAATATTTCTACGGATTAGTCAATCTTTTCACATTTTACTATCATCATCCTTTCCTAGGACTCATACGCTAGATATAATTTTAGATGTCTTGTCATATCCATATATCCCATTGCTCAGTTTGCAAACCTGGAATGTTTGGATTTTAGAAACTTTAAGATGGTTCTAGTCGGAGCAGTTGTTCTCCCCCATGGCACAATGTCATTTGATGGACAAGCTGCTGAAAGTTCTGTGGAGTCCTGCCGTGAACGATATAAAGGTCTACCAAAGCACCTACAGGTATAATTAATTCTGAATAATTAATAGTTTAAACAGTCTGTGCCACCGTAGGTAGCAACAAAAACACCATATTTGGATAGGGATTCAACTACTTGAAAAATACATTAAGTAAAACTCTGACATTTCAAGCGGAGGCCTATAGACTTGGATCAAGTCTGTTTCCCGCGTTATTGCAACTTGCGCTTCGCGGCGCGCTCGATCCCTCGGACTCTTGAGAGACAGACTTGATCCTAGTCTAGCGGAGGCCCTTCATTAGGAAGTTAGTGACATGGAATTAATTTTAATCTTTTAGGACGTTTTCAATTATGTCAAGTCATACCTGTATGAAACCTATTTTATTAAGTCATTCATGCATGACACTAATCATTAGCCCAAGCTCCAGTCTAGATCTGCCAATGATTATTGTTTTTTTGGCTTGTGGGCAAGCTAGCATACTGTAGGCAGTCAGCAGGAGCGTGGTGATGTGATTTTCTATTATCTCCATGTTTGCATGTCTGTCCCGGAATGCCCCCTTTTAATCCCCTGCCTGGGCATCCTAGCTCCTCTTATTTGTGGCTCCTACAACGCAAGGAAAAGCAAAGAAGCCTCTGTCTCGGAGAGTGATACCGGTATTACTGTATTTGTTATTTCTGTGTTAGACTAGTACAGTACATCTGAAACTGGTTCGCCCATTCTGCGCTATAAAAACGGTATCTTGTACAGTATTAATATTTGGTATATAGAACGTTACCATGGATAGAGAGACTGGCGGTAATAAAAGTTAAACAGTGAGACATGCAGGACCACCGCCAATATTTTACAAACTTTTTTAGGGTATTTCAATATTAGCGCTATTTCAAGGGTACCTGGATCTCAGTTTAGAACCTTTCACTCTAAAACAGACCCTCTCTAATACGGACAAATGACACAACATTTGTTCCCATGGCGCAAATACGTATTTTAACAGTAATTATAAGACTTAGTATAAGTATGAAATTCATAGCTTAGTCTTAATAACGGAGTTGCAAGTAACCAAAAGGAAGAAAAGGGAAAGTGTTTGCGAAACTAAGCCTTGCAAGAGAAAATAAATAATCTAACCAAAGGGGATTCAATAGACCGTATTTAAAACTGTGCTGGAATTCAGGCTGTGCTCACATGGTTTGGTAAGGTTCGCTGAATTTTCTATAATATATCATTTTCACTTCGCTAATAGACCTTTCCCCTTTTAAGTGAAATTTTGATCTAGACAAGTCTGGACAAAAATTTCATCATAGCTTGAAAGAGCATCACAAAATTAGTAATATTCCGAAGTTTCGTTGCAAAATGTTGTAAAATGCGGATAATATAGCCTTGCGAAGTTTGCCGTTTTTCAGTCATTTTGCATTACAAACGGGAAATTGATAATCAGTTTGATCATCTCATTATCAATTTCCCGTTTGTAATTCAAAATGACAGAAAAACGGCAAACTTCGCAAGGCTATATTATCCGCATTTTACAACATTTTGCAACGAAACTTCGGAATATTACTAATTTTGTGATGCTCTTTCAAACTGTGATGAAATTTTTGTCCAGACTTGTCTAGATCAAAATTTCACTTAAAAAGGGAAAGGTCTATTAATTGGAGAAGTTTCTAGATCAAAATTTCACTTAAAAAGGGAAAGGTCTATTAATTGGAGAAGTTTGACTACCGCTACCATGCACTACGTCTCACTGGCTTAGTACTCATCTGATTGGTTAATCGGATATACCAAGCGCACCTGATCTGAATGGTTAATGGTTCCTTAATGGCCAAATCTGAAACTTGAACTGTTGTGCCAATAATATTAAGCTTTCGTTGGTAGGGATGCAACTACCTGAAAAATATAAGGAGAATTTCCACGTTTCGAGTGAAGGCCCTTCGTTTTCGCCAGTTTAACTCCAGACGAAGCGCCTTCGCTCGAAACGTCGAAATGCTCCTTATATTGTTCAGATAGTAGCATCCCTACCAACGCAAGCTTGTTCAAATCTGAAATCTGAATCCCACTATTGTCGCGCATCTGACGTCATATATATAGCAGAGTGTGCGGCGTATTCCGATGAACATTATTCGGCAAGTAAACCTATTTAAACACATCGTTTGCGCAAGGCTTAAAAGCCACTGAAATGTGGGTTTGTTTTTAGTTACTGGACACTTGCAAAGTAACGTCATTGTGGTCGCCTTTCGCTGTTTAAAATGACTCCTCTCCAATTCGGACATATGAGTGGTGGACATAAAAGTGCCAAGTTTTGGAAATGAGCTGCTGCACGTTCTTGCTTTTTGCGAATTGCGCGTATAATTTCCACTAGTGATTGGATGAATAACACAGACTTTGGTATCAGACAAAGGGTGGTTTGCGTGATCTAGTGAAGTGCTGCGCGCGTATTAGCCTTTCTCATGATGACGAATATCCGCCATTTTTGGGTGGCATCAAATTTTTATTATCCAATGCAGACAATTAAAACAATGTGAAAAGCGATAAACTAACCATTTACAAAGCAAATTTACCATCATTCGTCCAAAAAATTATAAAAAGTCGCTGTTATGTGGATTTATCGCACAGACTTCAACTGAAATGCCAACCCAAAAATGGCGGCGTGAGAAAGGCTAATTTCTTGACAAAGTGCTTCGTCGAAGTGTTTTTAAAATGTCAACATCCTTGGTTTCTTACAGGTACAATTATCTGGTCTTTTTGATGCCACAACAAAAGCCTGTGAGAAAATTGCCGAGCTAAAGCCAGACATTGTAATATTACACACACCCCATGGAATATCATTATCCAAGAGTGTTGGTGTCTATATGGACAGCGCAGCGAAAGGAAATGCTCTCTGGAATGAGAAATGGGATGAATTTAAAGTGGAAATACCATTGGACAGTGCATTAGCATTGAAAATAATTCAGCATTTTGAAGACGAAGGAATTGATGCCCAAGGTATAAATTCTTTCACCCGCACAGAAGCCCCTCTCAGATGGGGGGAAGTCGTTCCTTTATGGTACTTAGAACAACAGTTCAAATTATTAGGTCAACAACCTAAGTATGTAATTCTAAGCCAATCTATGAAGAGATCCAGAGAACATCTTAGCCAAGATAAGATGGCTATTGGAAAATCTCTTGCAAGATTTATGAATGAAGTTGATGCAAGAATCGTATTTGCAGTGAGTGGTGACCTGTCTCATGCTCATACCCACAACTACACTGATATTCCACTGTATTCACCTGATCCACGCTGGAATATGCCCAAATCTGATAAAGCAGTAGTCTTCGACCGCGCTATTGAAGGATGGGCAACCAGCAGTGATCTGAGTCTGATTGGATCTGATACCCAGCTGCCATCTTATGACAAAGCAAGGGTATGGGATATCACGTTGGCCCCAGCATGGTTGGATCGGGCTATTGAGTTACAACCTGAAGCCATATCTTGCGGAATTTGTGGATTTGTTGTCCTTCATGGTATTCTATCTCAATGTGATAAGGAAATTCACAGCCAAGTATTTGGACGGTTTGCCCCAACATACTATGGCATGATTGCCATTGTTTTTTCCTTGTGTTAATTTAAAATTGAGAATTTGGTACAATATATGACATAAAATATTTTCAATTTGGTGCATTTATTTAATACATTGTATGGTTACAGAACACCTTTGAGTGTTAATTTTGCCTAAAATTTTTTTATTGCTTTCCATGAAAGCATTAGATTAGTTCTACTATCTGACCAGGTTTGAACAAAAAATGTTGAAAACTCGCAGAGTTATTTAATAAAATGCATTTCGCTTGCAGTAAGAAAAACATTGAAAATGTAACTAATATTCAAATTCAATTTTCTCCCGAAGAATTTTACGGCAATTATTGATTTTCAAACGAGTTGTTCTCCTGCGGGTTTTAACGAATTTTTCTCAAATTTTCACAGTTTCAAAATTGTGTTCGGCTTTGTTCTAATTTTGGATATTTTAATAATAAGGAGCAATTCACTCAAACGATTCTGAAATATATTGCAGTCGTCAAAGGAATCGCCATATCAGCGGAATGACGAAATAAACAAAAATTTCCGAACACAATTTTTTAGAACAACTATTTTACTGTATAAAAATGATATTTTCATAAATATATCTTAAAACCAGCCGGAACATAACTCAGAAGCGTAAAGGTACCGCGATTTAAGATTTTTCTCAATAATTCTTACATTATTTTATTGTTTGTCAATTTTACAACTTTAATCTTTATCATATTTGCATGTACTGGGTAACATTTGGTGAAAATCGGATTGCTTTTTTCTCGGCCTTTTTTTCTTCGCCCATTTTTTCTAACCTGCCATTTATTCAAAATCTTCAAAAACTTTAATAATATAAATCCAGCTGCTACGCATGCAAGATCGGGGTTCAAGAGCGCCGAGCCATCTTCGTTAAAATTTTGTTCGATTGAATTGATAGATAATGTAGATATATTTATTTATATGTCACCAAAAAACTTTGTTTAAGCGTTATCTAAAGTCACGAATAAATTTTACAAATTTAAAAGTGTTACCACTATATACAATCATTCACTTGTGCAATCGTATTTTAGTTGATGTAATAGAATTAGATCCTATAGAGTTAAGTCTATAAGAATTAAATAATTATGAATGATTATAAAATTATATCATCATTGTGTCCTTGTGCTTTAGTTTTAAATCAATGTTGTACATAGATCCCTTTCTAAATTATACCATCAATTAGACCTTGACGTAAGGCGTACTGTTCATTATTTATAACATTGGCCGACATAAAGAATGCCCTGAATCATAATTCATGTCAGTTTTTGTGGGACTGCATTGCATTGAATCCCATGGCGTCGTGATTTTAAAACAGCAACTTACAATAATAGCTATTTTAAGAGGCCCTCTCGTTGACTAATTAAAGAGTTTACAGCAGTCACATATTCACGTTGAAGAGCCGGGCCTTATCTTTGGGTATAACCTTGCTTATACGCCATTCACGGCACGCGAAGAGTGAATTTAACGAAGTAGAAGCAAAGTATTATAGCTTCATCTACCTCACAGTATAATCTACCTCACTCAATGACTACTTCACTTGTCATGCGCACTTTGCCACTCAGTACATGCCGACACGGTCTGCATGGTTGATTGGCGTGAAAATCCAATTTCGAAGACTATACTTGCTAAGAGTAATTTTCCCCTTTGTCAAAAATAATGAACGGTACTTTACACCACTATACAAAATGTATCAAACTATGAAGGTCAATGTTCTCATGGAGAATAAACACTCCTGTCAGTTATTAATCTGCCTTGTCCGTAGGCGCCATATATAGCATGTTTATATATCATGTTTATATTTACAAGCGCGCAGAGAGCGATGTAAAGTACACGGCAAAAAACGCCGAGACCGTTGCTCAACAGGACTGAACAATGTTTTGCTGCCCACGTTGTTCACACTTGTCAACAATATTGAACAATGCTGTTGCGCATGAATCGGGTGTAACAATATTGTTCAATGTTGTTGACAGCTATGAACAATGTGGGCAGCAAAACATTGTTCAATCCTGTTTTCATCAGTATTGCATCAACCTGAGCGTTTTTTGCCGTGTATACAAAGCGCCTGTAAACTCCATGGAGAATACTTCATGTAAACATTTTATAATAATATAGCGCCTGAGGACGAGGCAGGTTATTTTTAATATAAATATTTAACATTCAGTTGTGCTCTGTCCACCATTAATTCTTGCCCCACGAGTTCTCCGTCCACTACGTGCGGTCTTTAATCGAACCGTATCTTGGGTAGGAGACGGATATAAATCGTCATCATCATCTTCGTCGCTAATAGAAAAGAAAGAATTATTATCATGACGCCATGTCACCTAATAATCTACAAAGTAATGGATAGTTTTATATTTTTAATGTTGGTTTATCTTAATTTGTAAATCTATACTGACAAGCAACAATGGCGAAGCTAGCCATAGCAACAGGTCATGCTATGCATTTATTTAGTTAATTGTATTATTCAAACTTTTATAGAAATGTATTGTCTTTAACCTATATAGATGCAGGTTTATTAGCATAGCATGACCAATTGCCACTGACAAGTAACAAAGATTATAAAGATAATTAGTAAATTTGAACTATGGATAGCTAAAACCGAAAATAATGTGCGACTCTCTGCATCTCTACAGAATCTAACAGGGAGGACAAGTCACTTTTTAAAAAATATTTGAGGCACATTCATGCATGGCATGTGCATACAAATGGCGGACTACAATATACATACATTTATAAAGACATATTTGTTGTAAGCGAGATATATTTATATATAATCTTGAGTGATCTGTGCATGTCAGTGTATAGGTAGTGTCGATAATAAAAAAAGATTCGGATTGATAGGGATGCAAATCATGCAACTCCTGAACCATACAAGGAGAACTTTGACGTTTCCAGCAAAGGCCCTTCGTCGACAGGTTAGTCACCAACTCCCAGACGAAGGGCCTTCCCTGGAAACGTTGAAGTTCTCCTTGTAATTTTCAGATAGTTTCATCCTTATCAATGCGAACTCAGTTTTCAGATATATTTGTTAGTTTGTATTTAAATTATAAGATACAACAACTTACTCTTCAGGGACGACCTTTCTTTTGCCCCTCTTAAACCAATCCTTTTTCTTTCCGATATAAAATACAACGAGTGCGACACCCAGGAATAACAAAACGCACAACACCACCGCAACAATCAAAGCGTTATCATCATCCTCGTCATTCTTTTGCAACCCTTTATCTGCTTCATTTGCAGTTGATGGAGTTGTTGGCTTGGTTTGCATGATTGAGAAGTCATTTGCATCAAACACAAACGGTTTACCTTCCAATGCATTGCTATTGTTAACAGCTTGAAGGAGGGCTACAGTAAAGTTACCTGTCTGGTATTCCTTTGACTTAAGGGTCGTCACATAAAAGTCGAAAATCAAGCTGCCTTGGCTAAATCCTATCACCGTCACACTTTCGAGTTGAAGGCCTTCAGCTTTGAAAAGATCTCCCAGCAACTTTTCAAGGTTGCTTGCCAAGGTTTTGTATGCCTCGGACTCTGGATTGGTAAGATCAGAATTGAATGTTTCGCCCGTGAGACGAATTTTACCAACAATGTAGTCAAGTTCCGCTGCTGGTGAGGTTGGGCTTGTAAGAGAAGATGTGGTTTTAGGAGTGGATACGTTTGTGGAAGCGGTTGAACTTTCGGAAATGGTTATGGAAGCGGTTGAACTTTCAGGAGAAGAAAGTGTGGTAGAGGGTAGAACTGTTGCTGGATTTTGGATACTTATTTCTTTCGTAGTTGAACTTGGTCGAACAGTGATGGTAAATGCGCTTGTTGCTTTTGTATTGGTTGATCTATGTTCATCCAAATTGGAACTAGTTTCTTGATACGATATCACAGATGATGATGATTGATAGTGCTCCATCGAAATGGTGGTGGTAATCATGTTGCCGGCAGTTGTAGATATCTTCGCGGAATTTTTTGCTATAATAAAAGAAATGAATGTGTATCATTGTATACTATTGAAGATTAATATCAATATTTTACGATATCTGAAGCATGGGGCAAAGACAAGACGTTTTATTCGTCCAAACGTCTTAGGCTTCTTGTAATACAAATATAGCTAATTCTCCTAAGTAACCTGATAGAAAAATAAACCATACAGGTAATAGTTCTGGAGACAAATGATGCCTGATATTTGAATATTTCCCTCCTAGCTCAAAAGTTTATCTTGACTAATCATCCATCTTTTGCGACGTTTCTACGCTGAAGTATATTTGCTTAAGCTTCTACAAACTGATGAACGTTTAGTCTATTACGTTGATTGATGCTACTAGCGATTCTAGTATGTCAATTGTATCAATCTTATTGAACGTACCTTTTGTTTGTAGCATGCTATTGTTTGTCAACACGCTGCTACTTTTCTTCATTTCTTCCATTATTGTGTTATTTTGCGAATACACTGTGCTCACGAGTTTTTCCGTTGTATGTGGCGGGTGTGCAGTGGATGCGTGAGATTGGGATGGTTTCAAAATGACAACAGCCGACGTCTTCAACTCCTCAATTTCTATTTCCACTGACGAAACAAATGGAAAAATAGTATGTCAATAAATATAGGAATTATAGGAAATAGATCAATTTTTGCAACGAACTATTACTGGTTGTAGGTTGGCAGCAAATCTAGCCTGGTAATCAGAAAACGTTTGAAAATCAACGATATACCATGCCGTTGGCAATTACTTTTGGAACACATTTCGCCATTTCTGAAGCTCTAGGTTTCAAAGACTTCCTGCATAAGATGCCTCCATGCATAGACTCTATTTATATTTTGGGTATTGATTTATATTCGCGGCGTGAGTTTGTTAGTGTGTATTAGTTTGTTAGCTTTCGGAATCATAAGCATTGGTATTTATTCACCTAACATGGAGAGAGCCCCCGCCCTCCCAAACGTCTTGGATTTCCCGCAATATTCCAGGAGGAAAGCGATGGTTTTGCTAAGGTGGATGGTTTTATCAACTATACTTTCGTACTTACCTAAAGTCGTGAAACACTTCTCGTTGCTTTTTAATCCATCACCAAATACATTAAAAGCAACAACATGGAAACAATAAGATGAGTTAGATGAAATATTCTGTAAAAGAAGTGATGCCATATCTCGTACTGTCGTGGTATTGACCACTGATCCATAACGTACAATGATCTTGTAGCCATCAATGTTGCCATATGTTTCTTCATTTGGTGGTATTAACTCCCAGGAGAGTTTGGCTGTTGTTAATGTAATATTTGTAACCGCAACGGAATTTGCTTTTGGGATCAGATCTAGACAATCAATATGGAAGAACAATCGTCATTTTCAAGACCCATATAGTCCAGTGAGGACATTCCTCACCACCTCATGTGAAACGTTCAGAAGGGCCGTAGCGAGCAAGGGTGGCACAAGATTTTCTTCGTGTAACACCGGCCCGGCCAACAGAGCAAATTATTGACTATCCTTTAAAAATGCATGATGGTGCAAACTGTTTAAATCACGAAACGTGCTTTACTAGGGTGATGAAACACTAAGGCGCAGGCTCCAACCAGAATCACATTTTTTCAACTGTAAGTACAGTATGTCGCCCAACAGCTTTATATATCATCCGGCCCGGTCAACGAGTAATTAAATTTATGAAATATCCTTTAAAAAATGACGAAGGTCTAGGGAAGTCTTTGTAAACTATTTGAATCACGAAAAGATGCTCTACAAGTGTATTGCGACACTAAAGCTCAGGCTCCTATCAGAATGAAGTACTTCCAGCTGTAAGTACATCGCCCAACAGTTTGGTTAGCTATAAGTACATCGCCCAACAGTTTGGTTGTACATGTAGATAATTAACTACAGTACTGTAAGTGAGGGTCCCATGACACATGATATGTGGTTTAATCTTATTGAGTGCAAGTGTTTTATTCTTTGAACTTTTTACCACCGGAACTACGGGAGTAGCCCCTCCTATGGCCGTTTGCTAACGGGACCTAGTAGAAGCAAGCAATGGGAAGATATTCAAAGCGACCTCTATTACCAAATCATATTAATGAACATGGGAAATCATCACCAAACTAGGACGCTTTCCCAAGACGTATACAGATTTTTATTGTCTTCATGAGATTTATGACAAGCGCCCTCCACCCCCCCGGTAGCATTTTCATTCCTTACCTCGCGTTCTGAATCCAATGATATCACTTTCAAGTCCTTCACCATAACTGTTGAAACCAACAATTGTTACATTATAAATGGTACCAGAGTGAAGATCACGAAGTTCAATCTCACTTTTATTCTGGGAAACCGTCATGTTGCTGGAGTGTTGATTTTCACAAATTATGGAAATCGTGTAGCCAGATATTTTACCATACGATTCTTCGCTATCTGGAATTTTGTTCCAAGAAAATACACCACTGGTTCTTGTAATTTGAGAAATGTTTCCTGAGAGTACTGACGGAATTTGAACTATAAACGGAATAGAAGATGCGCAATTAGGGTTAAAATTTGAAACAGCAATGAAAGTTAAAATTCATTCATTGAAAACTTTATACAAAATTAAATCGGGGACATATTGTATGATCTTCCTCTTTTGAAACATGTATGTCGCACCGCTTTGCCTGGTCAGTGCATATGTATTTTAAGCCTTGTTACAAGAGACACATTTTGCTGCAACCTGCAACGCAGTTTCTAACATTTCTCTTGTAACATGGCCTGTGCGTCCCTCTTTCATATTCACTTGCTGCAGTATGTATTTGTCTGTTATAGCATTTCCCCCTCAGTCCTCATTTCCCCCGTGGCAACAATTTGCAGTACAGCTGTATCAATGTGTTTCCAAATAAATACGACCATGTAACGTACAGTTTAAGGAGTGTGTTGTGTCCAGCGAAAGTGAGAAACAGATGTCAATGCTTTTTGTATAACACTGTACATCTCGGCGTGTTACCACAATTAGAGTAATCGGTGTCAATTCTTGCAGCTGTGCTAAGTAACCGTGGTAATAAACGCCAATAAGCTAACTCAGCTATCACCTTGAATTTCTCTTTAAATGCATCTCCTTTTCAGAAATAATATATAATAAACGAGAAAGCGTTTATTACCGCTGTACATAAAATACGTCAAAGCGAGCCTCGCAATAGATGAAAGGTTTGGCCACAGAGTAATTATGTGGTTTGGTCAAACCAGTGTGCTCCATATATATCTGAAGCGAGAACTCGAGTCCAAAAAGTGAAGCCAAGATGGCGGAAATTGAAGAACTGTTAGACGTCAGTTCCAATCCCTTTCTATTGTTTTGTCTGCGCGGTTTGTTATTGGACGTCAGAGTTCTCGCTCCAGGTGTACAGCTAATTCAAATAAGGTTGTCCTTCAAAAATCATAAACCTTAAACATTGAGTTTGCAAGAGATGATGGGCACCGCCCTTTTAGTCCTAAACTGGGTAAATTTGCTTTGTAACCATGCTATGGGATAATAACTTTATAATGAACACTTTCGACGTAGGACTGTTTGGTTCCCTAAGCTAATTTCCGATCTAAGGCTCGAAATAAGCAATACCCATCATAGTTTGCGCGCTCAATGTTTACGATTTGAGACTTTTTGAAGGACAACCTATTTTGAATTAGCTGTATACATTTATGGAGCTTACTGGGCTAAACAAGCTCATTTTGCTGTACAAGTTGCTATCACCACAAATTGCGACAACAACTGAAACAATCTAACGTACCTCTTGTAGTGAAGTTGAACATATCACTGATCACTCCGTCACCATAATGATTGTACCCAAAGACAATCACGCCATAGCTTGTGTTTGGAAGTAAATCGTTGATATGAACTTCGCTTTCAAATTGTGATACCTCGTGATCTACACGTGGTTGGTGGTTATGTGTGATGAAAATCTTATAACCAGTAATAACACCGTATGTTTCGTTGTTGTCGTTGATCCTTTGCCACGAAAACAGAGCATGCGTTGTTGTGATGGCAGATATGTTGGCTGAAACAATCTTTGGTATTTGGACTATGGGAAAAGAAAAACAAAAACAAATTTAATTTTTCCCTTAAATATACAATATTCCTTCTCTAAAGTTCATGTTCCAATCTTAAATTTTTATTAATTATGATTTAAAATATTCATATTCTTCCTCTTAATATTCATATTCCTAATCCTACCATCAATATTCCTATTCTTATCCCAAATATTCATATTCACCATTTTACAAAACCCAGTATTCAATATTCATCTTCCACCTCCAAATTCGATTTAGTAGCAATGGCCAATATTAAGCATGCTGTTAGCCTGTTACTGAACTGGGAATAATGTACATGCTTCGAACAATAAACAATTCCTGATGCTGCAATCCACGTCCCATCTTGGCTGTGTTTATCGTGGTGGTCGCGAGGGGCGTCGGGATACGCTGTTAATTATAAGATAACTCGGTAAAGACTGTGGGAGCATTAGACATAAGCCAAAGATAATTTAAAAAGCTTTTTCCGAGAGCATTGTAGTTGTTTTGCATGGCATTGCGTTTCAGTGCATGGCAAATTGGAACGACTCGGCATGAAACAAATTCATGAGACCAAAACACTATAGTCAATGAATTCACACAAAACACCTCAAAATCGAAGGTAATAAATATAAGCGCCAAACTATATAACTTTGCCAAACTATATAGCCCGTGGACGAAAGTTAAATGTATCAATGTTTACCTTTGGTTGTAAAGAAAAACATTTCGCTTTTATGACCGTCACCATTTATATTGTACCCATACACATAAAATTGATATGTAGTGTTTGGAGCCAGCATTTCAAGCACGTAACTAAATTCCGTATCTGATGCTTGGGCAGTGATATTTAAATCCGCTGTTTTGTTATCACCAGACATGAGTATAATCTTGTAACCAATGATTGCGCCGTTCGAATCTTCATCGGAGATTGGGTACCAGTTTATGACTGCTGAGTGATGAGTTACCATGGTAACATTGATAGATCCAGGTGGTACACGTGGAACTGTAACAACAAAACAGGTCTTTGATATACAGATAACCAAAATAACAAGTCAATTTAAATATGATGTTAGGATGCACCAGAAGCATGCATGTTATTTTGTATTGAACTGGTATGCATGTTCGTCAAGTCTCGGTCCCACATATTTTCTAATAAAATTACGAAGTTCATATTGTGCCAGTGCCACAATCTTCAAAATAAAGTCTCCAAATTTTTTGTATATACTACGTTTGACTTGCTTTTTTAATTTGTGGTATTTTTTGACAACGTCAAAATTTTAAATCGAGTCACAAGCGTGATCAACGTGTATAATACTTTCAATCATCTTTGCGATCATATTTTGGATAAAAATCGTTATTAAAATAATCCTCGATTCTTTAATCCCCATTATTATTTTAATTAAATTAACAATGTGACCCTGACAATGTAACCTTGTTTTGGTTTAGCTCTATTTAATTAAGGTAACGTAACTTATACTGGATAGCTCTGTCAATTCTAAATTGTTTTCCCTGAATGTTTTCTATAGTAATGCGACCTTTGTGGTTTCAATATCCTTGAAGAATGAGGCTAGGACCCCAAATTGAATCTTGGCCTGCATGACGTTGCCCACAAGCCCCACAAGAGGTGAGAGGAACATGCATTAAAGTCACAGTTCAGCCTTTTGAATGATGCTTTTTAAGGCGTATTACAATCCTTTTAAATTGAAAAAACTATAACTAGGAAAATCAATGAAGCATACAGTGTAATTCAAGATCAATAAACTCAATGTTCTTCACATTAATAATGTTAAAAACATTGAGATCACTGCTCTTGAATGATGCTAAATTGATTTTCCTAGTTAGTTTTTCAATTAAAAGGATCGCCTTCATTCAAAACAATCATTCAAAAAGCTGAATTGTGTCTTTAACAAATACGAACGGTTTATGCGAGTGTAGGTATACCCAACGTAGGGACTTCTCTAGCTGACGAAGGTACTTTGTTCGAAACATCGAAGTTCTCCTTGTATTTTTCAGGTATTTGCATCCCTATCAATCCCCAGCATTCTTACCAACTACCACGCCATCACAATATCCTGGTTTACTTGAGATATTTGAATAAATTCTAACAACTAACCGAGGAAAGTCTTTTGGATGCATTACAATATCAAATCAATAATGTTTCCACAGTTTCACAAGGATTTTTGTTATACATTATGTACAATATGAATTGCCTCATAATTAATTCTGCCACAACAAACTTACGGTTTACGTTTTCAATTTTGTTAACTTCAGTTGTAAAATTCCCAAGACCATTTTTTTGCAAATCATTGGCAAAGCTTTCTTCATCAGTTTCGGTTTCTTTCGGGAAAGTTATTTTAAAATTAAATAACACACTTCCCTGCCTAGAACACGAATAAGATGATTGTAACATCTGCATTGCAGGCAAAGCGTTACAATATACCTTTTCCTGATTCCTGCAGACGACAAAATACTGTATATTATGTGGATGAGACAAAACTAGTGATATATACACAAGCTGACAATACAAATTAATTCATATTTTAAATTTGAACTTCGGAGGTCTTCGGTGGTGCAGTCTTCAGAGCAAACGCCTTTCACCTCTGAGATCGTGCGTTCGATTCTCGCTATGGACTCATGTGAAAAGAGCCTGTCAACGCTCTGTCGAAAGTCGTGTGTTTTCTCCGGGCGCTCCAGTTTCCTCCCACATGCAGGGAAAGTTGACAGGTGATGTTATGATAAACACAGTTAAGAAAGTAATCACAATTGTTGTAAAGATAACTATTCTAGGAAAAGTAAGTAAGATAAGCAGCATGAGCTCCACCTTTGAGTTTACTATATGAGTAAATTGTTAAACACGTCCGAATTTATCAATGCATTAAATTCGCGACACATGTTCAGCCGTAATCCTAACTCTAACCTTTAACCCTAATCTTAATCTAAATCTAATCTTTATTTGATACTAATCCGAATTTTTTTCGAAAATCTCCGTATCAAATAATTGCCTGCTCCCCTCACGGTCATTTCGATGGCGCTGTTTCTATAAGTTGATGAAATTAGATAATATACTCACGTAATAGTTCCAATTTCGATAGTTGCATTTGGATATTTCCTTCTTAGCTATGAATAAGAGGAAATACTGCGTTAATATTGGTTAAAATTACGTTAGGACTATATTTACTTTCCTGACGTTAATTTCAAATAAGTGGGAACAAGTGTATTACAGATCGACTGGCACACTTCTTTCTGCTGTAATGTTGTCGTATAGCCGGCAGCCTGGAGGTATTAGCAGGGACGGCGGAACGATGTGAAGGCAAGGGGGGCAGATTTTCGTGAAAGGGCACTTTTGAATTGATATATACTAAGAGATGTTTGCAAAACAGCGGGAGTTGAACTTTGCCTAATCATTTTTTCTATTTATTGGATGATAGGTGTGTGAGGGGGTTCTCCGCCATGCGATTGAGCTATTCTTGAAGCTCGATGACTGCATTTCTTGCGTTTTCTGAAGCAAATTCGTAAAAGAATTGCACTAACATTTCTGACAATTCGCTATTTCGCCAAGGCAATCCTATAAATTGAAAGGGCACCTTTGCCCCCCTTGTTCCTCCTGGTAAAGGGCAAGGGGGGCGGCTTCCCCTCCTGCCCCCCCCCCCAGTTCCGGCGTCCCTGGATATTAGGTTCGGTCCAGCTAGCGAGATTACTCTAACTGATCGGTCGAAGCAACTTTTAATTATCTAGATTGCAATATTCATATACATGACCGCGTGGCTGCATGATGCCGTATGTAGGTGAAAATCCACATAGGACCATTACTCATCACTCAGTCTCCAATAGCTTAGAGGTAAACTTCGAGAGTCGTGTGTTCAAATACCACTTGCAGCTCAGGTATTTTTTGGATTACTTATGGTGATTCCAATTCCTAGTCTAATTCGTTTCTAAAACTACTATCAGGATTTCAGGCATCTATACGTAGGACTTGAATATAGATGCCTAAATCATAGCGAGTGTATATCAAATACCCCAAATCCTGATATTTAGAAATTATAGCGAGTGTAGATGCCCAAGATCCTGATACTCCGTACTTTGGCATCACCTTAGTACATATACATGAACTTGCGGTTAGAACTCGACAACTGGCCTCTGAAGCTCAGTTGGTTAGAGCGCTGTACCGGCATCAGAGGGTCGCAGGTTCCAGCCAGAGGTGCTATAGTTGAATTTTTCGCAAATGGTGAACGAAATATACCTCTTCTAGAAATTTCGCTAAGAGATCTTGATATGCTTTTGAACTTTTATTGTGCAAGTCGTCCGTCCAATCAACATTTGTCATGTTCAGCCCAACCTCGTAAGATGTTTCTAAACACATGTAGAACATTGGTTTAAAGTTCTAGGCATATACCAATGAGCTTTATATTTAGTGGGAATATAAATTTCACGATGGCAATCCCACTACTGTACTTATTGGTTGAAGTGCTAAATATTTAATGGGTGATTCCAGCTATAGACTAAATTTTGATCAAGGCAATGGGAATCTAAAAATGGGAATCTAAGAAGGAATCTAAAAAGGGATTCTAAAAATTTAAAGAAAACCGAGCTGCATTCACACTCATTTTAAAACCGGAAAAGCTTCGTGTATCGTAGACCTATCGATATTACAAAAATCAATAGATCAAACATGTAATTGTAACTTAATAACAAACAAAGATGCAGTACTTCGCTTTGTATTTTCATTCAAGAAAAGATATTTATTGTGGATGTCGAGCCACGAATTAACTTACCATTACACTTTTTGACATTACAATGTTCTTTCTGTTGTAACTCTCCCAGATGAGAACACATGTTTTCTTTTAAACAGCTGCGATTTCGTGACGTCAGGCCTCCACCACAGTCACGTGAGCAGTTACTCCAGTCACTCCAAGGAAGGAAATATGGGGGAAGTTCTAGGAATTATTTTATGAATGTTAACAAAACTGATCAATTATCAACTTATACGACGGAACTTTTTACCAGGGGGAAGACGGGTCAATATGGAATAACGGCTATGTGCGTGGGAAATAAAGAACTTAAATAAGATAAGATATTAAAATTATACTCCAGTCCACTACATAATCTACCAGGAAATCGTTAAGTAACATATTAAATCCAACTATGAGAACTTTACTGGATATCCAGTGCGCACAGTTTAGTCTGAGGCGAAGTCAAGGACTGAACTAGTTGCAAAGGATGGATATTAGAGACGGTTTAAACGTAGTCATATGTAATCTATTGTATATATACCATATATATTTTTTCCCGACGTTACCTACTATATTTGTTTGTTTGTTAATAGTCGTAGTTATAGAAGGCCCAGTGTAAGATTAGCTTTGCTAAACTAGTTTTTGTAATACCTTCTCTAAATAAAGTTATTATTATTGTCGGATTTGATATGACATCTCATATAGGAATAAATCACTACTTAAAGTGAGGCGAATTAATTTGGATCCAGTTCTGGGACTGACTTAATTTTGATATTGTCCTAGGATTGGATCCGTATTCTTCACCAGGTATCCAGTGTTATCATATCAGCGAAATTGAGTAGCCTAATATGGTTGGCTAATTGATACTCATGAATGATTTATTATTCTATTTAGAAGAACGAAGTTTGAGATTCATTTATGAGTTTTCTCTAAAGTACCTTTTGTCTTAAATGTTGCGCTTTTCTTTTCTCCATCGCCATTAAGGTTGAATCCAAGAACACTTATGGTGTATTCTGTGTCAGGATTGAGATTCACAACATTAACCGCGGTAGCTTCATCATCTAATGTCCAATTTAGGCTGCCCGGTGTTAAGGTGACTTTGTAGCCCAGAAGAATTCCATTTGTCTGGTCAGGTTGTATTGATCTCCAATGTATCATCGTGGAATTTGTTGTCGTGTTTTGAACGAGGACAAAGTCGGGCTCTTGTGGCACTAAAGTTATATTAAACGACATGTTTTATGTTTACTAAATGATCCTGCAACAGTGTTTAATCGGGCATTGAACTACTAGCCGTGGCTTAAAACAAGTGTCATAGCCGGCGTGTTGGCACGATAAAATTTGATTTTTAAGACCTCGAGAACTACAGGCATTTCTCGATTCAGAGATGAGTTCTGAAGAAAAATCATAACCGCGGAAAAAGCCGTAGATTTTTATCGTTATTCCAGACATTATAATCCCAACCACTTTTCTGCCAACATTTTACAAGAGAGTTCTTGGAGGTAATTGGGCGGGCGGAGCCCATTCTTGGAATTTATAGGGGTGTACAAATGATATGACGTAAGCTTTCAATTTGGATTAGATGCATAGCTCATTAAGTATTCAGGACTTTCATAAATATCTTCAATCTGCATATTTCGCAAAAATGTTAGTATAAAAATAATAAGGAACCACTATGATAACTCTAGGGTATCCGTCAGAATGAACCGTCAATTCAAATGTGCGCTTCCTTTTAAGCAAATCTATGAAAAGTAGTTGCACAAGGTTGTATATATACTTACCCATATTATTGACAATTTTCACCAAAGAGACGTATAGATTTCCAATTTTTCCGTCATTGATCGCATTTGTTAAATTACTGATATGACTTGATGAAGAAAATGTGATGGTAAACGATACAATGACGCTTCCTTGGCTATTGAAAGAAAATGGAAACAATAATAAAGAGAATATAGTATAGAAGACAAAATATACTGAAAAATATGAGGGAGAAATATGACAACTAATTAAATATAAGCTGCCGGAGTCTGAACTACCTCATAAAAGTTTCGACGTGTTGAGTTGAAAGGCCCATACTACTTAATGGTAACGGCAATGCAAGTCAAAATCTGAACCACCCTATCAATGAGTTTGAGATGGTGGAATCGGGTGCCAAATATGGCAATATTGGTACATCAAGAGTAAAATTTTGGTTTTCAGGTAAATGCTCAGGTAAATGACAACTATGAAGATAGTTAAGACATAAACAACGGCATCATATTGTAAAACAGGATCAGCCAGCCGACGTTTGGAATGTCAATTACATCGAATGCTTATAAAAACCGTGAGATTATTAAGTTTATGTAGTTACCAACCTTATTGTGTTAATCGCGATGGATGCATTTTGTCCATAAATTGCGCGTAGCTGATTAGAAAAAAAAAGAAAACGCTTTAGCAAAACATTACTCTAAAATATAAAGAACAAATTCTCACTAGTACTTATGGCTAAGCGTGCAGGCATAAATAGTGCATAAAGTGATTAGGTCGATTAATTCAATTACCTGCTCCATTAATTGTTCAACAAGATCCATATATGCTTGAGAGGACATATTGGTGAAATCATCAGTCCATTCAAAATCAGTCAAATTGACAGAAACATCAAATGTTGTTTCTATAACATATAGGACAGTATGTCACGTTAATGAATAACAGCCTTAAAAATCACCGACGTTTCAAGCATGATTATTGATCTAAGTATTGTGAAAATCACAAGAAAAGTTGTAATATAAGAAGCTAGATAATATAATATTAATACGAGTTGATAACACGAGATGGATTCTAATTCTAATTTGCCATGAACTTACAGTTACATTTACAAAAATCACAGATGCATAGTAGTATTAATACTATAATTGATCATGAACTTACCATTGCACTTGTGGAAATTACAAGTGGTAGCATTAATACTGGGTCCCTGGTCGTCACATTGTCCGTGCTGAGAACAATTACGGGTCTGATAAGTATATCCACCTCCACAATCACGTGAACATGTCGACCAATTTCCCCATGGATGATATTCTGGAGGAACCCACACTGAGCTAGATACTACTGGAGTGATGAATGTCTTGGTAGGTTGGATTGTTGCCGTGGCCATGTCTCTAGCATCGAGATTTGTTGATGCATTTGAATTACTCCCTGACATGTTAAAAGTGAGCTGGACCGATGTGGAGATATTATTGTGCAAATGTCCAGCTATGTGACTTGTATTTAACGGAGTCGCTACATTTATTGTTGGCGAAACAGAAGGTAAAACACTGGTTGGTATGGAATTTATAGCAGCCGAAATGTTTAATTTTGGCGTATTTTCAACAACATATGCTGAGGATTGTATGTTGCTCGTTGCTGTTGAGTGGATTTGTCCAATTTCTGAAAGAACGATTGAAGAAGAAGGGGGAATTATATTGTTATCCATTGGACTTACTGAAGAAGAAGACAAAGTTTGAACACTTGAAGATTGTGGGTGAAAGATATTTGTTGATTCAGGGAATGCAGTGGACACTGCTGTACTATGCGGGTGAAGAGCGGAAATCGTGGAATCCATGGCAGTTACTGAAGATGACGTGTGCTCTTGTGCTTTCGTTGTAAGAGAATTGTGTATAAGATTGGAAACAGGCATAGACGAATTGCTGGTGGCTGATGTTGACGGTTTGATCAAAATAATTGTTGGGGATGATATTTCCTCGCGTGATTTAGTTGACGGAGGATTATGAAGAAGATCTGAAGCCTTTGAAGACATAGTGTTTGTAATTTTGCCTTTTGGAAGCGAATGGATATTTGTTTCTGTGGATTGGAGGCTTGTAAGAATCGTGGTGCTTGGACTAGCTTGTTTCATTTTAATTAAGGAAGACTGCGTGGTTTGGGTTTCTGGGATGCTATCAGCCGTATGAGAATCAAGGTTACTGACTATTGAAGACTTACTTGTATGCAACGATCGCGTTTCCATATTCTGGTACAGTGAAGATTTCGTAATCAGAAGTTGAAGACTTGGACTCTTGGTTGGCTTGTTCATATTCTCATGTGAAGAATGTCCATTCATATTTGATGTTGGTACAACATTGGTGGTGGTTTTTACAATGCTCTCCATTGTCTTAGTTGTTTCCACTTTCGGAGCTTCTGACGATACAGCAGAGTGTTCTGTAGTTGACTGAAGACTATGAGTCTCCTGGGCCTTTGGGATTGATGAAGTTTTCTGTTCTGGAGCTGGTTTTTGTGTTGAAATAATTGTTGAAGTAAGTTGTTCTTTCTTTCTCGAAAAAGTGAGCGTTTTTGTCGTCCCTACATCAAGATATATCACGGCTTTAATTATAGTTTCTACACGAAAAATTGAAGTTTGTTAAGACCACTAAATATGCGCAACTGATTGGGTACCCACTGAGTTGAAATGAAGCCGGATGTCTGTCATCACTAATAGACCAGGCGAGATATTTTAACTCATAACTATAATCAATGGGAGAAATGTATTTCTTGAGCGGATAATATGTACGCAATATGTTTGTGATGTTGTCTCTGAGTGTGTCCACAGCGGGCAAGCTGAAAAGTTTGCTTGAACGTGGTGGAAATCGAACCCACCACCTTTGGTTTACTTGTCCAATGATCTCGTTACTCAGTTGGTAGAACATTGGACTGGAAAACCAAAGGTCGTGGGTTCGATTCTCACCGTAATTAAGCAAACTTTCAAGCTTACCCAGTATGGACACACTTAGAGACAACATCGCAGACATATATTTTCACCAGAGTGCATAACACCAGAAACAGAAAAACTAGTTGGAGGCAGTATATGTTTTTTCGTAGTGAAGTTCGGTGTCTTAATGATGGGTTATCCATTGTCTACTCAGCAAAGCTTAAATTTTTTACAGGTTCAATTTAATCTTCCTTTAAAGAGTGAATATCATGCCAGTGATCCTTTGTAAGCTTGCGTTTACATTTTATGTTTACATTCCACTGTATCTCATGAATATACTTTCATTACAAACATTTTGCATAAAAAACGCAACATTTCACAAGATAGAATGACTTACTTCGTTCAACAGAAGATGTTTCTCAATAGGATTCCGATAGAAATCACTTATAAATGTCTAAAGAGTCAGCCATTTTCTGGGACGCCAAGCGCCCAAAGGAACACTGGCATTATATTTACTCTTTAAAGTGCACATACAACTATCAGCAGCTTTACATCCAGGTGATCTTGTGTTCGTATTTTAGCCAATCAGCGTTCAGAAAGGGTTGTCCGAATAGAAATTCATTTTGATGTATTCAGTCAATTATATCTTTCGTTATTCTTTGTGAAACTAGTTGAAATTTTGCAATTATTTTTGGTTATGAGAACTATAGCTCTGACAAAAATATGGAATCGAAATAAAGTATATTACAGGAGATATTCAGTTGTTTTAATCATAAAATGGATTTGTATTTGACAACTAGTGCCAGTACTTTTCCGCGTATCGAGATCATCTGCATACTTATTCAGTCATATTCAGTACATTTCTTATGTAGAGGAAACGTCATTTCCATGGACTTTTGGTTGTTAACGGTAACAGAAGTGACGTTAAATAAAGGCTAGTTTACACTACCAAAGTTTCTGTGATCACAGCAAGAATTTTCGATTGATAAATTCTAAGTTTTGAAAGATTTGTGAGAAATGTTTGAGGGATCTGACTCAGTATTTAACAGTTTCCTCAAACATTTCTTACCAATTCTTCACAACGTAGATTTTACGTGTGCAAAATTTCTACTGTGATCATAGTCCGACTGTCATAGCCCGGCAAACTTCAAAGCCACAAAATAGAAGACCTATGTTTGATGTCGAACTGTACCTTACCGTGCACAAATCCTTTTGTATCAACTTGAACGGTTTTTCATTATACGAAAATACAATGAGCTCAATCACCGTGACCGTGCACAAATTAACATAATCTGAGACAAAAGCATAAGACAAACACTTCTGTTTAGTTTCCACACCATCATATCTTGATAACAGTGGCGTAGCCAGCTCTATAAGTGGGGGAGGGGCATATTCATATATTCGTGTTCTGCATTATGTCCCCCCCCCCCTTATCGAGCTGGCTACGCCACTGCTTGATAGTTGTGATCACAGAAACTTTGATAGTGGCAACCAGCCTGAAGACATGCAAATCAGTGTCTTTAAATCGTTTTAACGTCATTTTCGATAGTTTTAAGAGCCAAAAAGACCATAACAATAATATTAATAATACCGGTATGTAAAATTCCTAATTTCTGTATGTGCACTAATTAAAGATCGGTGTTTCGGACATTTCAATGGGTGATTCCAGCTAAAGACTAAATTATGGTCAAGGCAAGATTGCCAAGAAGAACGTAATCCAACACCACAGCTAGAAAGAGGCAGTGTCTTAGAATGAGTAAAACTGCAACAATTGGTTGCTGAATGTTGTAAAATTAAGAAAATATAGCCCTGTGAAGATCGCAAATTTTGTTCAAAAATGGCTCAAAAATGGTTATTTTCCCGCGTGTAATGCAAATAATTATATACAAAATTTGCGAACTTCACAGGGCTATATATTCCTCATTTTACAATGAGTAAAATTGCAACCAAACTTTGCAATTTTACTCATTTTAAGATACTCTTTCCAGCTATGGTAATGGATTTCGTTCTTTTTGTCTCGATCTACAGCTGGAATCATCCATTGCTTAAAAACAATTCGCAATTTCAATTCATATATGCATGAATAACGCTCAGACAAAAACATAACACAAACACTTCTGTTTAGTTTCCACACCATCATATCTTGATAGCTGTGATCACAGAAACTTTGATAGTGCAACCAGCCTGAAGACATGCAAATCAGTTTCCTTAAATCATCGTAACGTCATTTTCGGTAGTTTTAAGAGCCAAAAAGACCAAAACAATAATATTATGTAAAATTCCTAAATTCTATATGTGCACTTAAGATCGGTGTTTCAGACGATTTCAATTAATAAATAATTAATTACCATTTCTCAATTCTGATTGGCTGAGACGTTGGAAATAATTTTGAAATTGCACTCCCTGCAGTTCCCTTTCGTTAACTGTGTACTAATGTAAAGTCCCATGCAGATGATAATATTTGATTCACAATTGAACGCATGCAAAGTTAATAATAAGCATAATATCGTACTTATTAAGAAATAACCAGAATATTTGAGCAAAATGAAAATAAGAAGAATTAAGAAGTAACCAGAATAATCGAGAAAATTGCGGTTTCCAGAGACCTGCTAAAAATATACTTTCTGACGAAGAATTATTCATTTTTTCAGTGCCAGGTCAACCGCCATGAAAATTTAACTTCTATATATAACACAGCCGTATATGCAACTTTAAATCCCTATATTAAATTGAGTTAATGTTGCCGAACATTAGAAATAGGCCTATAACATGCAGTAGGAGCAAAATTGTGCTTCTTTGAGAGAAGCTTGTACATATCTATTCTTAAACGGTCGAAAAAATACTGTGATGGATAGAGCAAAATTGCAAACTGAGACGTTTGGTCGAATTGATATATACTGTCGCGTTAGCTATATATATATGTGGAGTAATTTCTTTTGTTATAATATAGTTGGAAACAGTAGAATCGGCAGTTATCGGCTGTTGTTTAACAGTGTTCAAACTTGCGTGGCGTTAGAAAAGATAAAATTATCTCTCGTTTAAACAATTCGTAATATGGTCCGATATATGCAAAATTGAAAAACGGTTGAAGTAGTATATATTCATATATATTCATTGATAATGCAATTACATGAGAACAAGACAAATTTACCGGCCATGTTCGCGGTCCCTTTTGGGCATATTACTGCAATAAATAAAGCACTAGAAAACTAGTAAATGAAATACAATATTGATATCACGCATATAATAATTATGCATTATCGCTAAAGTCGTTCAATTAATTGGAGAAGCTTTCATCGAAAACTAATCTCAAACAAAACAAAATGTTATCGGTCTGTGGCGACATCAGTAGTGACAATAAAACCAGAAACTGCGGATATGTAGGGATTCAATTACCTGAAAAATATGTGTAGGATACTTCGACATTTCGAGATAAGACTCAAAACGTCGACGTTTTACTTGTGTTTTTCAGATATAGTTGAATGGCCCTTCCAAAACGAAATGTAGTTGGATAGAAAGAAAAGCAGAAACGCTACATACCATGAATAGTTGAAGTTTTTAATTCGTCTACAAAGACTGAGCTTGTCTTGATATGTATCGATGTTTTATCATTCCCTTCCAATTTTATTTTCGTTGATTCAGTCTCCTCTGAGTCGTTGCTAACAACTCTGTATATAGCATAACTTAGTCCGCCAAGAATTAACAACAAAATCAAGACCAAAAACACAACTTTTCTTGCTTGTATAGCACGACGATGATTGTGTCTTGCTTGCTGAGCTGACTGTCGGGAAAGATCTCGAGTTTCGCTCATATTCGAAGCAGAAGCATTAGTACTACCGCTACGAAAGCTGTGCGTAGGACTTCCCTTTCGTGCCACCAAATTGTCGAACGACGCCGGCGCCGACATTTTCTAACACAGCTCTATATAATATTACAGAAAAACAACTCTATATAATATTTCTTAAGTTTTTAATCCGTTTACGACAACTACTGTTTCAAATTTGAAAGCCTTGAAGAATTTGTTTCCTGTCTCCTTGGTAATTATCTGCAAAACATTTCGTGTTTAATAAATAAACCCAAGTTAAGACTTGGCAGCCGCATCTGTTTGCAGGTCATTTTTAAAAGGATTAACCGCAAATGATTGTCATTGGCAGGCTAACAGGCACCCGCTGTCAATATTTTGGACTAACCTTATTAGCATTTACATACAATCGCAGGGGGTATTTGCCATTTTAAATTTTAAAACTAAAAACTTCTTTATCATTACAATCTATAGCCATTTCTGCCAAAGATTGCAATTAACTTTTTGCAACTGAACATTTTCTGATTAAAAACTAAATCTGTTTGCATTTAATCCAAAAACCATGACTAGTGGACAATTTAAAAAAGTAAAGACTAAAGAAAAAAAACAATTTCAGAAAAGACAATTAAGACATCTTGAGAATACAATATATGATTCAAAATAAGATGCAGGCTGAGACTGTAAATTTTCGACTTTATTTCAGTCACCTTCAGACAGAATGAAATGCAATACTTTACAACACATATATTATATATATATATATATATAGCACATATCTTCGTCTTTCAAAGTAAAACAATATAACGTAGCTACATGTATTGTATTATTTATTAAGTCGCTATATGAACTTATTGCATACAAGAGTCCCTTATCAATATGTAATTCGTCCGGCGTATATAGACACAACATGGATAGTTAAAGAAATAGATAGGCCAACAGCTGACGCGAACACATGCACGTATTTGAAATTCGTGAGGTCACGCATACAACGAATATAGCAAAGTCTACTGCGTTTTTCTTTAATTTTTCGCTATTTTTCGCATTTAGGTAGCTATATATTGAGATTCAAAAGTGTTTCATTGTCTTTTAAATCTGCCTGTGCAACGGTAAAGTATTCAAGGTATATATATTTTACTTTTGTAATCAAGAAATTAGCCCCACAAAAATACAGCTAGGGCCGGTACGTTGTTCAAAGCTGGTAGCCCTAACCCTGCATCCATGGGTTAAAAAATAATCCGCTGTTTTGGTTTGGGCATACATTTGCACTTCTGTTCGTTTCAAAACTTTGAAAAATAAAACTTCTATTAAACCAGACAATAATTCTTAAAAACTATTCTCATGTTTATAAACAAGTTCTTGGGAAGTTTGCCCCTGTTGAGTGTTGACATAATTGCATTTTGCGACGCGTATTTTACTGTATAATAATTTGCTATGTCCCCGAAAATGAGCAACAACATTTACACATCATGCTATATCGTTGAGTGGTATGATTGTATTCTTACGTTTTTAAACACATGATAACATGGTAGTTAACCAAGGGCAAGGTGCATGTGGCGAGTAAATGCACACTCTCATTCACTCCGATATCATCGTGTGGCAGGGCCTTAAAGCTCGTTGTGAAACAAAAAAGTATATAGTCGGAATTTAGACAGTCTGAGAGTAAAATATACCACTTGAACCGTATCGTACCATACCTTACCATCCCATATCGTACTGTAACGTAAGTATTATTTAAAAGACGAGCAAAAGTGCTTTTAATTATCAGATATAAAACACGAGAGCGCAGCTCGAGCAGCTTAAATGGCTTAAAAAACGAACCATCTGATAAGTTCATTGGCGAAGTAATTTCAAAAATTAAAGTGGTCTAAGCCGAGAAAATCAAAGCTAAAAATTAAAATGTATGTAAATAAACATGAATTTTTATAACATATAAAACCACGGACTGCACGGTGGTGATTTCTTTGTCTTTTCCTCGTGAATTATTAACGAGTTATTTGAGCGTGTATATATATATATATATATATATATATATATATATATATATATATATATATATATATATATATATATATATATATATATATATATATATATACAGTATAATATATATATTTAGTATTTTTACACAAGTGAACATAACAAATCCTCCAAGGTGATTGGTCAAATTAGACGTATTAATCTGTTATATTCACCTACAGGTGAATATAACAAAATCGAAATTTGAAACGGCCAGCCGTTTTGTTGAAGTTAGTGATAAAGAAATAAGCGAAATTAAAATGAATTCAGACCAGAAAAAACACAAAAAAACTTACTAAAACAATTATTCGCCTGCAGGCTCGGTGATTATCGGGGAATATTCACCACGACTTCGTCTCGGCGAATATTCCCCGATCACCTCGCCTTCGGCGAATAATTGTTATATATATATATATATATATATATATATATATATATATATATATATATATATATATATATATATATATATATATATATATATATATATATATTTAACAATCAGTATACCATGAGCTCGAGTCGTATATGAGCTGATAGCCACCGAGTCGGCTATCAGCCATATACGACGAGAGCGAATGGTATAATTGTTTTATAATATAGTTTAATAGCCATTAACTGAAGCAATAATTAATTATCCTCTGTCACAGTGTCTTGACAATTTGTTCGACCAAAAACCGCTTGGCCTTGAAAATTTAAAATACTTTTGTTTTACAACTCGAAGACGAAGTGAAATAAATGGTTTTAGAACCATTATATATATCTCACAGAAAAGCTCATATATATATATATATATATATATATATATATATATATATATATATATATATATATATATATATATATATATATATATATATATATATATATAGATAAAGATAAAATAAACCTGTGAATAAATCTTATGAAGTAAACCAGGTTTATTTTATCTTTATCTATATTAGCTCTATACTTCGGTATATCGAGCACTCTACTCATATATGATTCTAAATACATATTTGGTATATATATATATATATATATATATATATATATATATATATATATATATATATATATATATATATATATATATATATATTATACAGATGTTTGGTAGTAGTAAGAGCTTGTTGACTGCAAATTCATTTGTCTTTCGTTTCAAACTTTTCTGAACAATTTATATTCTCAATGAACATGTTTTTTTTCGCTGTTGTTTCGGCATTAATTCTTTAAAAAAACTTGTATTTAAACTAATTTCTATGTCAGTAATAAATGTATTTTGCTAACATGTTAAATTTTCAGTTTGAGAGTTTTTCCTTGTACTATTTTCTTTCTCAAAGCGAATATTTTCCTTTTTTTTCTGCTTCGCTAAACTCATGTAGTTTTTGGACCGCCGTCTTGTTTTTCGCTACTCGCCGTATATGAGCTGATATACGGCGAGTAATTTAACCAATCAGATTGCAGAACAGCTCATATACGGTGAATGACTATATTATAAATATATTTCAAACATCATTAATAAATCATAAGCTTATTCATTTGGCAAATCATGTTAACCATAATATGTCACGTGCAGTGGCTTTAAACCTGATAAAACACTCCTAATTAGTGTTCTTTATATAAAGAATACTAATAAGGCAGTATCTATTGTAGTCGTGTCCTCATTCGTATTTTTTATATAAAGAATACTAATAAGGCAGTAAATCAATTGAATTTGTAGTCGTGTTTGAAGCCGTTTAATAAACTCGCAGGTCGCGTTTTATTAGGTCTAAAGCCACTCGCGCTGCGCGCTCGTGGCTTTAAACCTAATAAAACACTCCTGCTCGTTTATTAAACAGTACATATATATATATATATATATATATATATATATATATATATATATATATATATATATATATATATATATATATATATATATATATATATATATTTGCTTCCTCTGCATTGGCTAGGTTGGAACTAATGACTTTGAACAAAACAAAATGCTAACGCGGTAAGGTTGTATTAGTTGAAAACGGCCTTATAAAGGACTTATACACTGTAAATTTCAGGGAGTTAATTTAACTCCAGTGGTATTATCTTGAACCTAATTTTACTCCACATTTGGAGTTAATTGAGGTACAGTATAACTCCACCGGGGTTAAATTAACTCCCCGAAATTAACAGTGTATGTAAAAGCCGCTTTTAGCGTATCGCTACACAACGCAGTATTTCCTTTAGTTCCTTTGTGTGCATGGACAGCTTTCTTTCCACCCATCACAAAAGGACCATTTATATACAAGAAAATAAGTCGCGAAAGCATGCACTCGAAAAAATGGTCAATTTCTGTTAAGCCGCAACTTGCAGGAAATGTTCATTCGTGACTGAAATTATTCAACATGTTGAATATTTGGTGCTGATGGCACGTGTGGCTGAAATTGCTCAAAACTCCACCGCACTCTGTGGGAACTTGCTTACGCCAACAGTCACGAGTGTAATTTTGCAAAGCTGTTAGCTCCAGTGTGCGGCTGACTTAAGCATTCGGTGACTGCATGAAAGCACTCGCAGCGTCAGCGAGCTTGCGAATTGACTCTTGTGATGAATGGGAAAGAGGCTCATGGAGTCATTAGTTCAACTCTCTCTTGTTCGCATCTAGTTCGCTATACTACTATATAAATCTGATAAATACCGATTGATTTTTAGAATTATAAAATGTCACTCATGTCGATAATCATTGACATGCATTGCTTGTTTATTGATGTTAACTTTTATTATACGTTGTAGTCACTATGTCTAGCTCTTCTGATTGCATGGCCAGTATAGCTTATAATTAAATATGGAAATCACGCAACCTACACGTAACACAGTTATCTCTGCTAGCAGATAACTGAGTTATGTGTATGATGAACAGGCGGTATGATGTTATAGCAAACGACTGTTTTAAATATATACGAATATAATCAAGAAAATATAACATGGACACGAACTGAGCGTTTTTATGATTTTTTTGTCCAAAAAGCAGACCTTTTTGGCATTTTTATTGGAACTCTAATAGGTGGATGTGAATTTTCATATTTTTATGCTGTTATTGTGATATTTTAAATCGTTTTCATTGCTCTTTTCGAGAACCAAAGGTTGTTTTGTGAGACAAATCATTGTTTGTCGAGAGAGTTAATGAAAATGTATAATAAAACAGTTATTGAATCCGGTTTTTGTGACATCCACAATTATCAAGGTGGAGGTAAGTGTTTAATTTAAAACTGAGGCACTTGTGCGTTATTCATGCCTTATTCGTAATCTAATCTAATATTCGTACTCTAATCAAATAGAAACGTGTATCTATAATAATTATAAATAATATATACACAACATCCATAGTGCTATAAAGGCCCGTTTATGCAATTTTAGGTGCAATTTTCTTCTTCTGATGTATGTGAACGAGTGGATGAGTCATATTAATGTTCAGATGAAGGTACATATACTCAGAACATTCATAACGTATTAGCTCCTTCACATCATCTGCAGAAGAAGAAAATCACACCAGTAATCGCAGCAAAAATTGCAAGTGTATAAACAGGCTTTATAAGATATAAAATAATGACCCCTGGCGTCAAGGCCGTACGCAGGATTTTTTCACCAGGGGGGGGGGAGGCGGGGAGTGGCAGTAAGGCCTATAGGCCTATATGCCGGAAAAGTCCTAAATATCCAAAGAATTATTAATAATGACATAAAAATCGTAAATATCGTTTTCTCTGTGGGCCTGCCTGACGACGTTAACTATAGTCGTTTTAATAATTAAAGATTAAGGGATATGTCATATGTACACAAAATTAATTTCAAAGACAGATCACAGTGATCAATATATAACACTAATCCTGTAGATGCATGTTTGAACTCAGTGGCTATAGTATACATGGTCTCGCTTTGCCGGGACGTGATAAAAGGTGGAATGATTTTGATGTATTGAAATAGATCACGATTCAGGAAAATTTCGTTCACTTTTATAGCGTAGATCCAGGGGAGTATATAGGAAGCATCAAAAGATTGGGGGTCCCGCTTTCTAGGGGCACTTTTGGAATGAAAAGGGCACCTGAAAAATCTTTCCCGGAAATGTTAGCGACGGGGAAGGGACACGAAAAATAATTGCAATCATATAAAATGCAATCTGAACAACAATTTTGACGAAGGCAAAGGGCACTTTGCCACCAGAGAAAGAGCACTTTTTGTGTATTCTGAAAACTGGGGGGGGGGATTCTTGGTCCCCTTGTCCTCCAGTTCCTACGCCCCTGCGTATATATATATATATATATATATATATATATATATATATATATATATATATATATATATATATATATATATATATATATATATATATATATATGGCTATCCGCCTGATGATTCTTTACTGATGAAACAGACTGTTGCGGAATTTTGAGGTAAGCGAAATTCTACATTTGCTCTATCTTTATGATATTGAGCACTCTTTGCGTAGAAATAGAAAACATTTTCCGTGTTTCTATAGAGTTATAGAAACACGCGTGAAAGTTTGGGAGAAACGAGAAATTGCGTGGGAATACGAGCATGAAGTATATCTGATAAAGCACTTCAGTAATAGTAATAGTAATAGTAATAGTAATAGTAATAGTAATAGTAATAGTACATATATATCTATATATGTATATATATGTTCATGGCAAGTTCAAGTTCATGTTCAAGTTTGTATAATAAAAATAATTGGATAAAATAGACAGGACAGCTGCATGCTGATTAAGAGAGGTATATATACACTGCCTGAAAATAAATATAAACCTCTGGAACCAGGGTAAATCGTTCGATGCATTTTCGAACAAAATGCATTCAACGGTTTTGTTTTCCAGTATTTATCAGGCATGATTTAAAGACGAGGGCAATTTAGTTTGGCTGCATGCGCCTACGTGTTTAGGCATAACATTGCGTGGGAAAGTGTTTAAGCATAACATTGCGTGGGAAAATTTATGAGTCGATCATTGCCACCAGCAACTGTCATTGCAAAAAACGAGACGCATTAATGCAATCACCAAGCTCCGAATATGGATGACGTGGCTATATCTTCCACCACAGCATCTTTGAACTTAGAAATTTGAAAACCGAAATTTGAAAACCAGACAAAATAATTATGCTGTCAGCCATCTTGGTATTCCTGGATATGCATATATATACATCGTCGGATATATATCCATAACGTCACAACCATGGTAACATTATTTTGTATTTTGAGCAATTCTCGGGTTATTTTATGGCTAATGCTCAATGTTATGTTTTACTATCGTCTGTTTCAAATTAAAGTACAAGTTACTAGTATAAGCTTTCCAGTGATATTATTTTTAGCATAAAATGTTTCCACTTGTTGTGACGTTATTCAGTTAGATTTAATTATCAAACAGATGGCGAATGGCAGGATCGATGTTCTGGTCCAAAGATCACGGATAATTTTTAAAATGTATTTGTAAACGGTCTCAACATTCATTAAAATTAGGAAAACATAATTCTGCTTGTATTTTCCTTTAAGAAATTGCTTCAAGATTACGTCAGAGTTTGAAACTGACGTCAGCATAGTTCCGAGGTCTTATTGGCCATCTCGAGTCCATTGTAATTAATTCCTGATGTGTGGTCCAATCAAGGATAGAGTAATGCATTAAAAGATACAAAGTATGCTTCAATTCATTAGAATGCAAAGTTTCAGAGAAACTGTAAGCATCATATTCTGAGGAGAAATTTAATTTGAACTTCCCATTCCGACTATACTTGCTACTTTAACTACGCATTACGATTTAGTTTCTCACAGTGCCTATGGTAAGTTCAAAATTAATATAAATACCTTACTTGTTTTGAAATACAAGTGTACAGGTCCAATTAACAACATACTCGTTCTTTAGACTAGCTAAAATAAAACCACGCGCAATCTTCATTCAATTCAATTTCAAGCAAATCCTCGGTATTCGAATGGTTTAGGCACCCTCCTTGCGCTGGTTCCAGGATTGAATCCTGCATGGTTGCGCTGCTATTTCGTCCTAGTTTTTACAAGTTTTTTATCCTTTTGGGTTAAGTTAGGGTTAGGATTAGGCTAGATTTGGAGCTACATTTTAGGATTGCAGTTATGAGGTCTAGGGTTATGGTTTTATAAGTACAGTATAGACGTGCATGGAACAGAAAGGTTCGGTGTCAAACTTGTATCCACCATGTGAACTGAATAATCATTGATACGACTATTATAATTTAGCACTTAGAGTTTCGCTTAGTATTTTTAGTAACACAAAAGCCTTTGTACAATATCTCGATATCATACCTTGATATTTAGCGTCGTAAAGTTTTTTAGCACGATATAGTTGCGCCATTTCTTGCTACAAAACGTCACAACCTTGCTACAAAACGTGACAAGATTTTCGAGAGAAGTGTAAGTGCCGAGGAGGCTAGGCAATATTTTCGAACATGATTTATGTCATCACTTTACTTTCGTTTAGAATGTTAAAAAATATGGCTTGGAATATGAATATTGTTTTGTCAGTTATCCTCCTCTTCAGTTTAATCATTTACGTTCCAGCCAGGTAATGATATCACATCTTCTTTATTTAAAAATTCTATCAATCAGTCTTCTTCATGGACAGGGTTGTTTGAATTGTTCTTAAAAATAGTTAAGACCACAATAGCCAGTGATAAACTACATGATGCTAATTTGGTTATTCAATGCTACGTTTGTAACGTGAACTATATTACAGGATGTCACTGACAAAAGTGACTTGGCACGTAAATAATCAGAATTTAATAAAACTGCCTAGCTCTTTCAGTTTTAATTTGCTTCAATGCTTCATGACATTCCAGCTTAGATCGTCCAGTATTATAGGGTCAGTCGCTCATGACTCGTTCTGTGATACAACAGGGAAACCCAGAATGTAACACGTAGCAATCATGCATGCTGATAGAAGCAGAACACATTATTTTATTTGTCTAATGTCAACTGCTTTTTGTAGAGTGCGGGTGCGGAGTTAAGATCGTGTCCGATTTTAAATTTCATGGTACAATTTTAGTGAATATTGCATAGAATTAATGTTGGTATATGTTCACAAGTAATTTTCCGGCAGGAATTCTCAGGATAATGAATATATGAGCCAGCTAGCGTATGTTATTAAAACTAGTGACGTTTCGGCTTGCCTCACGGCAGATTCTGACCAACAATGGAATTACATAATCCTTGTTATTGTAATTTTATTGTTAAATTATGAATATGTCTTCAGTTCAGACGAAACCTCATTTTTAAAAATGACATTTGTATGTATATTTGGCATGCATGGGTATTATGAAAGCTTTATACTGTGCTCATAACACTATGTATGTCTTGACGCACCGTTTCAATTCAATTATTAAGAATCACAACTAAGCATGCAATTTCAGAAGATCTGGAAAACATACCAGGGTACCCTTTGGTTTTCAAAACGCTGTTTATGCAGCTGTTTGAAACTAATTAAAAATTATTTACATTTTGCTAAACCGTCTGCAGCTGTAATGATAACAAACTAAAATTTAAGAAAAACTATTAATTTAATTGTTCATGATAAGCCTGTAATGCATAGCATATTACAATATCAAATACTTCAGAGCATAGAAAAAATAAAACGTGAAAAAAAGGATAAAACGCAGAAAGGAGAAAATGAGGGAAAGGGATAAACGCGAGAAAAGAGATAAAACGCGGAGAATGGGATAAAACGGGAGAAAACGGAAATTATTAGCCTGCACTAAGAATCTTAGGGACCGGTCATTATTTATGGTGGGGGGTGGCACCGAAGAGAAATGTTTTTTTGTGGGAAAAATTTTGCTGACCCAACCATTAAAAAGTCAAAAAATTTGATTACCCAGCCTCAAATATCAATTAAAAAATGAATACCCACCCCTGGCCAAAACCTTTACAAAAGGATACCATTCAGTTGTCACACATGTCCTTTTAATTGCCACTTCTGTGACATGGGTTTGATAACGGCTTGTGAAATTTTCTGCAATCTAAAGTTTCATATTGTCTGCACTTGTAGTTTCTTTGGAGACACAATTTGTCAAATTGGAAAATGATGAAGATAATGACTTGATTCACATATTATATTGACATTGCCTTTTAGTCTCCAATATTTCAGTGAGTCATGCTTTGGAAATGACAATAATTCTTTATTACCCAACACTTGAGTTGTTTTGTTTATTACCCAACCCTTGAGTTGTTTTGCTTTTCATTTACCCAACCTTTTACTTACTTAAAATTTTGTTTACCCAACCCTTTTCTCTTCGGTGCCACCCCCCACCATAAATAATGACCGGTCCCTTATAACATTTTAAGCTAGCGCTTTAACATCCTCCCAGAAGGCGTATATAGCATTTTTGCAACCATATAAACCTCGTTGCACCTTCGTCCGGCCTGTTGACGTTCTTAATAACAGTAGTTCTTTATAATTTTGAAAGTGTAAAATTTAAGACTGTTTCTTAACACGTCCGCGTACAAGATTATAGCCTTTCTGAAAGGATTAGTGTCACACCAGGAATTCGCGGGCTCAAACTCCTGCTGGCGGCCATTTTTCGGGACGAATAGATTAGATGATCTGGAAAGTGTTTATAAACATATATGTCCGTCATATATTTAAACCATCCTTTTATTAACCTTGCCCTTTTTGTCTGATTTTTATCAGATATGTACCAAACGTAATTTTATCGCTATTTGTTGCATTTGAGTAAAATGTAAACAATAATAAAAGCCCGCAATGCATGACCCTGACACTAATCCTTTAAGTTCGTTAATAACACGCTCAAACGGCTGATTCGCAAATCGCAAGGCCCATGGGTCTAACTTAACATTGTAATAAAAGTGATACTATATAAATACCATTGGAGGTCTAGGGCCGGTTGTATAAAACTCTTAGTCACTTTTTTAATCACTATTTTGTAGTTAAATAGTGATTAACTCTCAAATACGCGCTTCTTATTGGAGGATGTTTCCACTAACTATAGTTAACTTTAATAACTATTTTATACAACCGGCTCCTGATGTTTAAACCGATTAACAAAAGCAGAAATAATTGTCAAATCCCAAAACATTCACCATTTGGCGACAACACGACCAGACAATACACATGAGACATTCGAACGCGCAGTTCTCGCGCGAAAGGATAAGCTAACGCGTATAGAGGACTCTGGGTAAAGGCGCAGCAATTTGAACTTTGATCCTTTGAATAAATAAATAAATAAATAAATAAATAGGCCTGATACAAACCTTAACAAAAGTGCATGCCTTATAACCGTATTTCGTTTGCAAATCTGATTGGTCTATGAGACAAAAGATTTTGAATATCCGTCATTTGAGTGGTTGGTGCTAGTTAGATTATACTGTTATTGATGACATATTTTATAGTGATCACAACTATAATTAGATTGTTGTTGTCGTTGTGTGAAATTTAAATTTCTGCTGCGACATTTTGATTGGATACTAAATATTAGACTTGGTTCAAGTCCGTCTCAGGAGAAAATTAGGGAGAGACGGACTTGGAACATTCGCAGCATTTCGAATGTTACTTGCAAAAATTGGAGAAAATTTGTTGTTGTTCTCAACTGCCAAGCCACGCCTCCGTAGGAAAAATCCGACGGTAAATTTGGCCCGCTTGCAGGGTATCCAAGTCCGTCTCTCCTAACCTGCGATCAGGTTCTATTTTACAAATAATAGCCTGACACAATCCTTAATCCGATCACTTTCCACCCACGGCAAAGTTTATATTTAGTATCCAATCAAAATATCACAGGAGAAATTTAAATTTCACACAACGACAACAACAATCTAATTATAGTTGTGATCACTATAAATATATCAACGACAATATATAATGTAATTATCACCAACCAATCAAATGACAGATTAAAATGTCTTTTGTCTCATAAACTAATCAGATTTACAACCGAAATACGGTTGTAAAAACATGGACTTTTGTTAAGATTTGTATCAGGCCTATTTATTTATTTATAGGCCCGATCGCAGGTTAGTCTCTTCGTACGTTTCTTTCATATTTTCGCGCCTTTTTTTGACCGCTCGCGTGCATGCAATCGCTATTTTCAACCCCTTGAGAGACGGACTTGAACCAAGTCTAAGTGTCTAACTAAATATAAACTTTGCTGTGGGTGGAAAGCTATCGGATTATGGTTTGTGTCAGGCTATAATTATTTGTAAAATAGAGCCTTATCTCAGGTAATTGGCAGTTTGACTTTGGAACAAAGGGCTTATATATATGGCGTTCCATCGCCGCCAAAAATCAATGTTACTAAGGGACCGGTCATTATTTATGGCGGGGGGTGGCACCGAAGAGAAATGTTTTCCGTGTCAAAAATTTTGCTGACCCAACCATTAAAAAGACAAAAATTTGATTACCCAACCTCAAATATCAATTAAAAAATAACTACCCACCCCTGGCCAAAAACTTAACAAAAGGATACCATTCAGTTGTCATACATGTCCTTTATCACTTCAGTGACATGAGTTTGATAATGGCTTGTGAAATTTTCTGCAGTCTAAAGTTTCATGTTGTCTGCACATGTACTTTCTTTGGAAACACAATTTGTTTTGTCGAACTATGGTGAAGATAGTGACTCTGATTGATTCACATATAGTATGGACAAATGACTGTTGACATTGCTTTTCAGTCTCCAATATTTCAGTGGGTCATGCTTTGGAAATGACAATAAATTTTTATTACCCAACCCTTGAGTTGTTTTGTTTTTCATTTACCCAACCTTTTACTTACTCAAAATTTTGTTTACCCAACCTTTTTCTCTTCGGTGCCACCCCCCGCCATAAATAATGACCGGTCCCTAATCAACAACCAATGTTGCACTCAACAATCAATATTGGGCAACAACATTCAAATCCACTCTTCAACTTTCAACCGAGCACAATTTCCTACTATTGTAATTTCAGAACTCAACATCTAACTTTAAAGCACCCAACAATGAATATTGAAAAACTTCGACAACGACAAATTTTTGTTCTTTGAAATTATGAATGTTGATGCTTGCAATGTTCATGTTTGAAATGTTGATGTTTGAAATGTTGATCGATGTTTGTAAAATGTTGATGTTTGTAAAACGTTGATGCTTGTAAGATGTTGATGCTTGTAAAATGTTGGTGCTTGTAAAATGTTGATGTTTGTAAAATGTTGATATTTGTAAAATGTTGATGTTTGTATAAAATGTTGATGTTTGTAAAATGTTGATGCTTGCAATGTTGATACTTGGCCAACGCGTACCAAAGCCGCCAAAAAGTATCGGGTTTCAAAATGACGTCATTCGTTATCACATGCTCGTGGCGTCGTTCAGTCGTGCCAGCTGATCGTGCAGTGCTTCGTTTACTTAATCGTTTTGTGGTTTTGCTTCTTTGGCTTTTTCTTCAGATATTATATCAAGCGCGTGCGTAATATTGTATAATATGCAACAAGAACTGAAATCGGTGAAAGATACGCTTCTTCAAGTTGCGACTCGGCTGGAAAGAATGGAAAGTCCTCGCGGTAGGTGAAATTAATTCTCACTAATACATTTTAATAGTACGAGCCAATTATCATGCTATATTGGGGGAGGGCGAGGAACGCCTGAGGCATGAGAGCGTGTTGGGGGATCTGGTGGAATGCACCCCGGGGAAGAAATTTTGAAATCTAAATCCCTGAAATGCGATTTCAAGTTAGCATTTTGAGGGTGAAATCTTGCAGAATTCCGAAGATTATAAAGTAGCCTACATCGAAGACATAAATTTTCCCAAACATATCTACTCGGCATTAAATAAATTGGAAAAACTACCTTGAAAAACAGGAGGAGGGGTTAGTGTCACTTTATTTCCCCTCGGTGATGCTGGGGGGGGGAGAAAATCCCAATGTAATTTGATCCGAAATGTTGCATTTAAATCATTCTAGGTTCTATAAAACACCATTTCCGCATTCTCAAAATTGCGTTACTTTTTTATACGATACAGAAGAATATTCGTGCTATGATAACTGCTATGCATAAATGTAAATCCAAACTACCACGCCACTGTGCTAAACCTTAATTTTACTCGGCCCCATGCGATTACCTATACCAATTTCTTTCTTGCTAGTTTAAGTAGACAATTCTGAATTTTGCAAAACAAGTTAGAGGTCAACGTGAGGATCAAAGGACTATCTCCGTCAGAAGTCTATCTTAACGAATTGACAACAGAATATTCTCCTGCATCTATGTTGATCAAACACAATGAGGACAGTGTCAGTGATGTCGGAAGATCCCCTGGGATTTATAGCTTCTACATGATTGTGTAGGTAGTTATAGTTTTTGTAACCTCTTTTCGGGATGATCAATTAAATATTTTCATTCTCTCATTCTCATTACATTAAATCCCAAATTCCAAATAATTATCTTAATCTGATTGAATCAAGTGCCATACCTTTTCTGTTATAGCATCCCAATATTTTTGCCACATGGTGAAGAGTTGCTGACTGCAATAGTGTAACAAATAGTGATGTATCAGTTCAGTTGTATTCTTAAAATATGTAAATAAATGCAGAAAACTACATCATCATGTACAGTATTTAATATAAAGAAAATAATTGTTATAATGTTTCGTTGGTGCAAAATTCTGCTTGTTTTTTCATCTTTTCTACCCATGCGCACGCATATAGCTTTGGATTAACTGTTAATTCCCAAATAGTAGAAATCGAGAGCTACATGTATATAGATTTGAGTACGAGACTTACCGGACCCCCGACTGAACATTATTGTACCCGAACCAACAACCAGCCCAAACTTTGAGTCCTTAGGGTCAATAGGCCAACAGGGCAAAATCAATGGTACATCGGCTCCGGCTTAGACACAGTCACATAAATAGACCAGTTTATGGGCCAGAACCCACTTCCGCAATGAAAGGATAAAGACCGGGCCAAGTTCCATGTTATTTCGCCGCCGTTCACTCGCTTCGCTTGCTTGCTTCGCCCTAGCGCTGCTTGGCGCCTTGTCTTTCACTTCACTTGCTGCTTACTGCCCCCCCCCACCGAGCCCTCCGCGGTAACACCCATTTTCCCATGCGGATCGACTCAGCTCGCTTCCCCTGCTCGACGTTCGCTTGGGCCACGCTGATGCTTCATTCACTTATATTTACTGATTATATAGTAGAGAGTGAGATACTGAAAAATACACAGTGAGATATTTACCTTATCTTCACTAGCGAAGATATCGATCACGTGACTTTTTCCAATTTGCTTTTCAGCATGAAATTTCACAATTTTTTGCTTGGAACTACAGTATATAATAAACAGAACATTATACAGTGGCTTGGAGATATGACTTTTATCTTCTCGTGTTAAAAACCATATTTTACTCACTCGCTGCGCTCGTTCGTACAATAGAGAGTTTGAGCAAGAGAACGAAGTCGGACGACGACGACGTGTTGACAATTTTTTCCTGCCTTGAACATTATCTTGCGTATTTTAAGTTTAGGGTCAGGAGTGAAGACAGATTAGAGATTCACGCGTCTAGCTGTTTATCAATGTTGACCCAAATCCTTACCCTGATCAGGATAAAACAGCGAGACATGAATCCATATCCCGTCTTCGTTCTTCTGCCTTCGTTCACAACGAATATTTTGGCGAAATTCGTTGTTAACTTCGTTCCGAACGAAGGCACAAGAACAAAGACGGGATATATAGGTTCATGTCTCGCTGTTTATTCTGGATCAGGGCAAGAATTATGGTCAGTACTGTCAGTATTCATAAACAACGACACATAGGACACGTTGAGCAAACACCAGTGACGTCCAACACAGTATGCACAAGAGAATGTGCAGACGACAAAAATTGTCAAGTATGCCTTCGTCTTCGTACTTCGTTGTCTTGCTCAAACTCTCTAATATCATCTTCACTACTCGAAGATAAAAGTCATATCTTCGTGCCGCCGTGTAATATCCTCTCTATATAGCACCACTAGCCTGAGGTGATAATTCCTCGTGCAAGGACGGCATCGTATGGCATTAATGGTCATAATATAAAAAGGTTATAATTAAAGTGTACTTGTCTTTTTCATATAGCACTGTGGACTTTAACAACGTATGCAATAAAATCTGGTCTCAGGACAAGAATCGTGTATTCCTTAATCGCCATTATCGAGTCAGTCTTCAGGGACGTATTTATGATGCATCATCTGACACAGACAGAGCTTACTCGCCACTATTCTCTTACGTTGATCGAAATGTCCTTAATAGGCCAACTTTCAAGTCTTTTACTGGTAAGTAACACTACAGGAAGGAATAACACCATGGAGTAATACTACTTAGTATAAATTCAGAGTGAAAAATTGCTTTCAAGCGTTCTGATTGGCACCCTCAGCAGTAACTCTGAGGCAATAGTTACTACTCAGAGCAACAATATATGATTTTAACCTATTGCCAAAAGACGAAAGCACCTTTTAGATACCTAAAGCAATTTATTTGGCACTTAAAACCGAAAAATAACAGAATCGGGCGACAAGGTTCCGACAGCTGGATTCGTTTGACTCAAAAGCGGAAGAGTGAAGTAAATTATATTATAAAATAACATGTATATAACGCGTATTCTGATTGGTCGAAAGCCGTGTTTGGATCAGGCCATCCAAACACGGAAGACTACCGTGTTGTTGTTATTTTATAAAACAATTACTTTATGGTTTCCGTGTTTGTTTGGACTGATCCAAACACTTGGGAATGTTGCGAGAGTTAAGAAAAGTGGGCAAAATCACTCGCCTTCGGCTCGTGATTTCGCTCGCTTTTTTTAACTCTCGCAACATTCCCGCGTGTTTGGATCAGGCCATCCAAACACGGAAACCATAACGTAATTGTATATTTATAACGTTCGTATATATTATTATTTTCAGTACTGAATTTATACTAATTACTAAGTCACCTCACGCTCGGTGATCATAAGACTATATTCATATCGCTGCTTCGCAGATCAGTGAATATAAAGCCTGGCTTGTAATCACCTCGCCTTCGGTGACTATAATTGTTAAATATACATATATGTACAATATTCAGCAGTCGGACTTATCGGACTAATCTGCAGACTCCAGATCGCATGCAGATTAAAATAATATAATTAAAATGCATTTACTTGGTATAAAATGCAGACTATTGAATAAATATGACTGCAATATCGTTAGAAAATATAGTTAACATGCAATCTCTCAACTTACTGTTTCAATTCTAGAAGTTACTGGCTTTTTAGCATCATATTAAAGAGTAATCACTAGAATTAAGTGTTATTTATCTGTGACATTTGAGTTTACACCAACCGTTTATGTTGATGGGCTCATAGAGATTATAAATAACACTAGAGGAGGCATCGCAATCTTGACATCAGGCAAAAAAGGAATACGGCTAATGTAGGGCAAATTCAAGTCCCGGATGTGTACACATGTTCCCATGGGTGAAGAGTTTCAATTTAGCCAATGAGAGCATGATTTTATATCCTGTACCTAAATTTGCCCCCCATTAGCCGCGTTCCCAAATTTTAACCTCGATACCTCCTCTAGTGTTATTTATAATCTCTATGGATGGGCTAGTGTGCCTCAAATAACAGCCGCCATTGTTTTCAAGTGGACAGTATAACCAGAGAATGTATACTGAGTGATCATGCAGTACAACAAGATTTTACAAGTTTTATAGTTTATAATTGTTAAATTAAGAATGTAACACTATTTATCAAATATACTCAAAATTTTCTTGCAGTTTGTACAAATGGAAGATTATGCATATATTTCCATCATTGCAAATTTATCGCGCTGCTCATTCATTTCCGTCAAGGCCGAAGCTTTGCAGTCCGAGCTGTATTTTACTAATTTCATTCGGAAAGCGAAGTGAGGTTCTCACACATCATTAGATATTCATAGCATTTCGGCCAATGACATGGTGTAATTTGCATCACGTGTATCTATCTGGATACCCCGTCTAGACTAGGACTTTAATTACTTCAAGTGAACGGTAAACAAAAGATTATTCAAATATATTTAATTGCTATGTTTAGAATTATTTCTAAATACAGTAAGCTGTATTTAGAAATTTTTTCCAACTACACTTTACATCTAACACTTTTTCTGAACGTTTCATGAATAAATAATGCTCTTCCTGCATGAGAGCCGTGCATATATACAATTATATAAATCTATGTAAATATATAGCAAGAAGAGAGAAACGGAAAACAAATAGGAAACTAGATTTTACAATAATTTGAATGATTAACTATATTACATATATACAATAAAAGCATTAGAGACCAAGAGAATCTCGTATGTTATTTAAAACCTTCATTTTGAAGGCAATGACATCCTCGGCCGGTTGATATGATCTCATCACTTAGAGAATTCCAGGTGACCCCTCCACTGTATGCTAGACTATTTTTCATAAAGTTTGTGTTAGGTTTTGGAAGGGAAAATTCACCTGGCTACCCCTTACATTGTAGTCATGGCTGTCATGCATTAGATTTTTTCTGGAAAATTGTGATGTTAGATACATATAGGTGCATCATTATTTGCTATTTTATGCATTAATAATACTTATTCAAGTGCCACCTATGTTCCAACGTAGGCCAGCCTAATTTTTCTAAAATTTCCGCAGTTCTAATATCATAACCAGAACGTGTGATAATCCGACCAGCACGATTTTGTAATTTCTGAAGTTTCTCTTTAGAACCTTTATGGCAGTTATCCCATGCCGATGAACAATAGTCGAAATGCGGTTGTACAGGGTGTCCCCAAAAAAGTGACACTATAGAAATTATCTCATTGTTCTTAAGCCGCTCTTAAACGCGCGTGATTACACGCCTGGGAATTTAATGAACTTGTATTTACATTTAAACATTAAAAAAACGTTTTCGCTTTGTCCAAATATTTTAACGCCCGAGTCAAGCAAAACGATTACACTAATAAACGGTTTGCTTTTTTATTTTAAATTCCAGAAGCAGAAGTTTATGCACCGGCCTGTCAGGCTTTCTTGCCATCCTACGTTTCCTAATTTTTCCTACTTTTCTTCAACTTTCCTACTTTTCCTATTTTTTATTAAAAATTGCTTGATTTTCCTACTTTTTCCTACTTTTTCTCATAAAATCCTACTTTTTTAAGACAGCTTAGGGAATCAGTATGTTATAGCTCTCGTAATTAGATCTATATATATAGGACTCGTAATTTGTATTCCCTATTTGTGTCCCAGGTGATAAGATCTCAGGAGGAGAAGAAGTACATTTTCCAAGTATAAAATTTCATAGCATCTTTAGAATCATAATCAATAAATTAATGAAGACTTTGAAAGTGCATTTCCGACGATCTAGAGATTCCAAATATTCAACTCCCCCCAGTTAATCAAGCATCATATATACAGGGCTGTAGCAACCGGGGGGCTGCAGCTACCCAATAATTTGTTAATAATCCTTTTTTTTAAATCATGCAGATCTTTATCATTTAATCCATGAGAAGCTGCAAAGAATGAAGATATTACCCATACTTTCCAGCAACTTATCCAATATATAGTTAATTAAATACGCCTTCGCCCATTTAGTACTACTAAATTGTAAATTTCGACATACTAAAACGCTGTTTTCTGACCATTAGAATTCTG